GTTTATGGCTTTGCCGTATTGGATTACTCGGAGCTAACGCTGCGCACTCACGACTCGTGGGCGGACATCGATAACAATTTCTACACACGCGTCAGTGGTCTGAAGAGCAAGGGTGTCAAAGTCAGCCTTGCACTGGGCGGCTGGAACGATTCCCAGGGCGATAAATACAGTCGCCTTGTGCGCAATGCTGCGGCTCGTGCGAAATTCATTCGACATGCTCTGGACTTTATCGAGAAATATGGCTTCGAGGGTCTCGATCTGGACTGGGAGTATCCGGTGTGCTGGCAAACGGAGTGCAACAAGGGCTTCGCCGATGAAAAGGAGGGCTTCACGGCCTGGGTCAGGGAACTCTCGGAGGCATTCAAGCCACGTGGCCTGCTGCTCTCCACGGCCGTATCGCCCAGCAAAAAGATCATCGACGCTGGCTACGATGTTGAAGAACTGGCACGCTACTTTGACTGGATTGCCGTGATGACCTACGACTTCCACGGACAGTGGGACAAAAAAACGGGCCACGTTGCGCCTCTGTATCATCATCCCGATGATGACTATGATTACTTCAATTCGGTAAGTAATGGCTCTACTTTATTATTATTCAATTACTAAATTAGTTTCTCTTTACTTAGAACTTCTCGCTGAACTATTGGATAGAACGGGGTGCTCCATCTCGCAAGATTGTCATGGGCATGCCTCTATATGGTCAATCCTTTACCCTGGAGAATGCCAAAAACAATGGACTCAATGCCAAGGCACCAGGACCTGGTCAGGCAGGTGAATTTACCAGAGCAGCAGGCTTCTTAGCGTATTATGAGGTGGGTCTATTTTAGTTACTTAGCTCTTAGATCCAATTCATATGAGGGACCTTTTCTTCTCTAACCATTTCACCATTCCAACAGATCTGCGAGCGCGTCAAACATCAGGGCTGGGAAGTGGTGCAAGATGAACGCGGCCGCATGGGTCCCTATGCTCGCAAGGGCACCCAGTGGGTCTCTTATGATGATCCAGCCATGATACGCAAGAAATCGCAGCTGGTTCGTGCGCTCAATCTAGGCGGCGGCATGGTTTGGGCATTGGATTTGGATGATTTTCGTAATCGTTGCGGTGATGGCGTGCATCCATTGCTCAGGGAAATACACGACGTACTAAAGGATCCACCAAATGGCTATGAGCCAACGCGTAAGTCAAAATTCAAAGTAATTCCTAATACTTCTTTTAATTTGAGCTCATACTTAAATACCCCCAGCTGGTCTAACTCCTGCTGAAATTGAATCTGTGGAGGAGCAAGCCATTTCGGTGGAAGTAGGAACAGCATCTGTGGAAAGTGAAGCCGGACAATCGTCACAGGAGAAACCTGCTCAGGAAAGCAGCGAGGCTGAGGATGTTGAAAGCGAAGGCGGTGAGGAACAGGAGGAGGAGGAGGTGGCAGTCATGCAGCCACCCCAGCCGGAAACTGGCTCCAATTCTGAAGCCTCCAGCAATGAGACAGCCAACAATGAAAATGAGTCCGTCAGCGCAGAAGTTGGCGACAACAACAACAACGAGTCGGAATCATCGCAAGAAAACGAAGTTGATCCCAACGAGGATATTGAAGAGGGAGATTTCGAAATGGAGAGCGGCTATCCCATTGCCGACTCCGGCACAGACTATAAGGTCGTCTGTTACTTCACCAACTGGGCGTGGTACCGTCAAGGCGGTGGCAAGTATTTGCCCGAAGACATCGATGCCGAGCTCTGCACGCACATCGTTTACGGCTTTGCTGTATTGAATCGGGATAAGTTGACCATACAACCGCATGATTCGTGGGCCGATCTGGACAACAAGTTCTATGAGCGCGTGGTCAGCTATCGAAAGAAGGGCGCGAAGGTAACCGTCGCCATTGGCGGCTGGAACGACTCAGCGGGTGATAAATACGCTCGCTTGGTTAGAAGCGCATCGGCTCGTGCCAGATTCATACGCCACGTCTTGGACTTTATCGAGCAGTACGGATTCGATGGCCTCGACTTGGACTGGGAATATCCGGTGTGCTGGCAGGTGGACTGCAAAAAGGGCACCGCCGACGAGAAGGAAGGCTTCACAGAGCTGGTGCGCGAATTGTCGCAGGCCTTCAAGCCGAAGGGTTTGCTGCTCTCCGCCGCCGTCTCGCCGAATAAAAAGGTCATCGATGCGGGCTACGATGTGCCAGAGCTTTCACATTACTTCGATTGGATTGCGGTGATGGCGTACGACTATCACGGACAGTGGGATAAGCGTACGGGCCATGTGGCGCCCATGTACGATCATCCAGAGGGCACTGCGACCTTCAATGCCAACTTCTCGATTAACTACTGGCTGGAGAGCGGAGCTGAGCGCAAGAAAATTGTTATGGGCATGCCCATGTACGGTCAGTCCTTCTCACTGGCCCAGGCCAGTGCCAATGAGCTCAATGCGCCCACCTATGGCGGCGGAGAGGCGGGCGAGGCGACACGTGCCCGGGGCTTCCTGGCCTACTACGAGATCTGTTCGTATATACAGAAACGCGGCTGGAATGTGGTGCGTGATGCGCGCGGTCGCATGGGTCCCTATGCCTACTCGCGCGACCAGTGGGTGTCCTTTGACGATGCGCCCATGATACGGCACAAGAGCGAGTATGTACGCGCCATGGGCTTGGGTGGTGCCATGATCTGGGCCTTGGACTTGGACGATTTCAAGAACGATTGCGGCTGCGAATCTTACCCACTGCTAAAGACAATCAATCGCGTGCTACGCGGCTATCCGGGACCACATCCCAAGTGTGCACTGGAGCAGAGCGAAAAGACAATGGGTGGGTGTTGTTTACGGGTGAAGCGAGAGACTTTCATTGAAAATCTATCATATTTATATTAACAGTTGCGGGCGACAAAGGCACGGCCCAGTCAGCCAAACCCACCATTAACACCGTCCCTCCGGCCAGTATAGTTGCGACTCCAGCCAGGCCAGAGCCTGGTCAGCCCATCGATTGCGGTGGACGTAATTATGCACCGCACGAGCGCGACTGCAACAAGTATTACATCTGTCAATATGGCGAGTTTATTGAGCAACGGTTAGTCGAAGATCTTCTAAAGAGTCCAAACTCGCTTTGACCTCCAATTCCTCTCTCCCTTAGCTGTCCCGCTGGCCTACACTGGAACGAGAATTACTGCGACTGGCCCAACAATGCTCAGTGTGCAGTTCGTTCGGATCAAACCACTCAGCCGCCAGTGGTGCATCGACCTAAGCCCACTAACCCAACACCAACTCACAAACCCACCACAAAACCCACAAAGAAACCCTTTACACCGCCCAATAAGAAACCCATAGCTCGACCCAAGCCAACGCCAGCTCCACCGCTGGGCAGCAATGAGGCATACAAAGTCGTCTGCTACTTCACCAATTGGGCGTGGTATCGACCCGGCCAAGGCAAGTATGTGCCCGAGGATATTGATGAGAATCTCTGCACGCACATCGTCTACGGCTTTGCTGTGCTGAACGGCAACAGTCTGACCATAAAGACGCACGATTCCTGGGCAGATATCGATAATCGATTCTATGAGCGCGTCGTGGAGTATAAGCAGAAGGGATTGAGGGTAACCGTTGCCATTGGCGGCTGGAACGATTCACTGGGCAGCAAATATGCTCGATTGGTGCTCGATCCCAAAGCGCGTGCTCGATTCATTGAGAGCATTTTGGTATTCGTTGAGAAATATGGCTTCGAGGGCTTGGATCTTGATTGGGAATATCCGGTGTGCTGGCAAGTGGACTGCGCCAAGGGCTCACCAGCTGAGAAGCAGGGATTCGCTGCTCTCGTGCGCGAACTCTCCGATGCCTTCCGACCACGTGGACTGCTGCTCTCCGCCGCCGTCTCCCCGAGCAAAATGGTCATCGATGCGGGCTACGATGTGCCACAGCTGGCACGCTATTTCGATTGGATAGCCGTGATGACGTACGACTTCCATGGCCACTGGGACAAACAGACGGGTCATGTGGCGCCGCTGTATTATGTGGATGGCGATGCCAATCCCTACTTCAATGCCAACTATAGCATACACTATTGGCTGGATCAGGGCACGCCGGCTAGTAAACTGGTGATGGGCATGCCACTCTATGGTCAATCCTTCTCGCTAGCCGACCCGAAGGCACGCTCCCTGAACGACAGGTCCATTGGACCGGGACAGGCGGGCACCTACACGCGTGCCGGTGGCTTCCTCGCCTACTATGAGATATGTGAGAAGGTCAGCGCTGGCGGCTGGACGGTGGTGCGTGACGAAGAGGGACGCATTGGGCCCTATGCATTTAGCGGCAATCAATGGGTCTCCTACGATGATGTGGCAGACATACGACGCAAGGCGCAATTTGTGCGCAGTTTGCGTTTGGGTGGCGGCATGGTCTGGGCCTTGGATTTGGATGATTTCCGTGGTCGCTGTGGCTGTGGCAAGCATCCATTGTTGCGCACACTCAACCAAGAACTGCGCGGCATACCCGGACAGCGAGCCAACGATTGCACATAATAATATTAATTATTATTAAGTGTGAATTACATGGATTTATGCCAATTCCTTAGCTGCTGACTAGGCTCGCAATCTGTTCTTAAGATTTTTGCCAATTAGTTATAAGCACACGATTACATCCCACTCAACCATATAAATAAATAATGGAAAAAACAATAAATTTTATTCATAAATTCAAATTTTTCTATTTGGCGCTAACTCATAAAATACTAAAAAGTATTTTTGTGACTTCCCGCACTTCATCAGAATAAGGTGACCCTTATTTCTAAATTTCTTTACCAGGGCTGAACTATAAAAATACCTAAATTGCATTTAGCACTAAAAATTTAGAGTGACCATTAATTTGCACGCCATAATAATTCCAAATGGTTCTTACACGTAACGACAGATCGATATATTTATTTTATTGAACACCATATCTATAATTTGAAAAATTAAAAATATAAAATAAATGAGTATTTCATTTAATCTAAAATTGTATCAAACTCAATATAAGAATTTTCTTCAGCTCTCTTTCTAAACATCTGTCAAACATTTCGGCTAAAAAAATAATAAAATTTCTGTGTTACCAGTTTGGTTTTTTTCTCGTTTTAAAAGGCATTAGCGATCTGAAAATGCATAAATTGCACCGTGCATGTGCCCCTAAACATCAACCAAAGATAGACACACAACGCGAACCATCGTGCGTAGGCGTTGCTATCAGCTGTTCGAATCCAGAATTTAAAGCGCAAAAAGTGTCCACAAGAACTTAACGGAGAGCACTAGCACGAAAGCCTGAGAGCCTGCCAACGTGAGAGAGAGAGAGTGGGAGCAAGAGAAAGCTTTTCGGATGTGTGCGTATTTTAGGTGAACTTCGGCGCCGTTCAAGCAACGCGTTGACACTCAGTCGAACGGGCAACGAAGTTGCAGACGCAACAAATTTTGTGGTCAGCGGGTCGTGGCTCGGTTCTTAGGCATTGTTTCTCCTGTGGTGGTGCGTGGCAGTGGCAGAGCCCAAAGCGCAGCTTCTGTTATTGTTTATGCACACAGACAGCGCGCAAATACACATACACGCAGAGGCACACGCACACAGGCACATGCCAATTTTTACACATACGACGAAATCGTACGCAGCAAAACAGCGCAGCTATTTTAGTACGCTGCTCTAGCGCTCAGTGACGTCACAAGGTTGATCGCGAAAGCCACAGTTGTATAAGAGTGACAAAGATAACAACAACAGTGACAGCAACAGCAACGATGAAGCAAATCTACCGCATTAACTTACGGCACTTAGTGCGTCACATACAAAATCGACAACAATTGCCCGCCAACAACAATTACCGTAAATTCACCTGCCTGGCGAATAGCAACAATGACAGCCGCATCAGCAACATTAGCAAAAGCAGCAGCAGCAGCAACAACAACAACAACAACAGCAGCAGCAATCTACAGCAACATTTGCCCATCTGTAGCCGCAAATACTCCAAGTTCAGCACGCACCTGAACAGCGAACGTGCCATGGAGCTGCTCTGCAATCTGGATGCAGATGAACGGCATAATTTAAGGGATGCAATGTTTAAGCTTGAAGCGGACAAGGAGAAGAAACAGTACGAAAGTAAGTAGCACTCTTTCTTATAGATCTATTAGATCTTAACTCTTAACATTAAGCAAAAAGTCAATCAAGTTTGCTTAACAAATAAATGAAAGTTAGCGCATGAAATGCCCTACTTATAAATTGGAAATTTTAGACAGTATATGAAAAGATATATGCATATTCATGCACATATGCTATTTATAGCAAGTTTTGTAGACAACATTTATCAAATAAATGAAGCTTTCTACATTAATTTCACTTAATGTGGTATTTCTTAGTATTACAAAAACAGATTATACACAAATCAAAAAAGATTTCTTAATTTTAAACATGTTAAAAACAGTGAAAGGAAAATTTCCTATTAGGTTATCCTAATCGGAAATTAAATTTTTTAATCTAATGCGACTTCCATCTGAATGCATTAGGTTTATGTTTAAAATATAAAAATATTTGTAAAATGTTAAACATACTTTAATAATTCTTATGAAAGAAGAAAATTCAAAATGTATGCAATGCAAATTTTCAAACATGTAGGTAAATAATATATACACAATTTTGTATTGCTTATATAACTCAGAAAATGTATTTATTTTCACATATTAAATTATAATATTAAAAAATAATAAACGTATTTCTAAACTTGAAGCTTCTTCAAAAAGAAATTCATAAACCGAGTTAAAAACAATAACTGATAATTTAATTTCAACTTTTTTTTTCTAAAAAGATTACATGCTTGCTATGTCTAAAAGAATTGAAAAAATTAATTTTAAACTCAAAAATTATCTCAGATAACTTATCATATTATTTAATATGAGATTTTTAATCTTATTTTTATTAGTGATAATTTATAAATAGAGAAAATCAACATAACTAGCAGTTGGGGCCTTCGCCTATTTAATACGTTAAATGCCGATTCGATTAACAGGAATTGCTACTCCCCCACCTGCTGGCTATTAACAGAATTATGTTAATAGCATAACTCCAACCAACGTTTTCCTATTGATAATATATACTTTGCAAAATGATGTGTAAATATCATACATTTTAAATATTTGCATCAAGCATAATATGATATTTATAATTTAGTATTCTCAGATCAATTCAAAACTATATGTTTTGCCCTTTGCCTGTGACAAATAATTGCTCCACTTTATTATAAACCTTTTTACCCACTCTAATTGGGTAGAAGTTATAAAAATATGCTTACATTAACATTACATTTAGGTATACTCAAAATCCTGGTAAATTCGTTTGGGGTCATATTCGATCGCTGGCTTTGTCTATACAATATACATATATAAATGTATATATATTTAGATCAGTCCACGCTTGTGGGCCTCCGACTTGAAGCACAGGCTGTACTTCTCAGCAGCCTCGCAATGGTCATCGGGCACGGGTATCGCCGCACAGATATCTCCGATCTCCAGGGCCATTTCGAGCTTGGCCGGATCACTGCCTGTGTATTGCTTTGCCTTCTCTCGGCCAGCTTCCACGTCTAGTTTGCCATTTTCACCCAGCACATGGAAACTCTTCATGATGCAAGCGCGCAGGCATTTGCCCTCATAGGTGCTGGCCGCTTCATGCTTGACGATGGTTTGGACTTCGGCATCGCTGGCGCCCACCTCGTCCTTGCACTGCTCGGCCTTCTCAACGAATTTGGCAAGGGCTTCCTTCTCATCAAAGGCTGCAATCAAAGCGGCGCCCAGCAAGGCGACACAGGCCACAGAGTACACAAAACGTTGCATGTTGTTAACTTGGTTAATTAGCAAACTACACTGTTGTCGTTGATGGCTAAATGTTGGACTTTTATAGCAAAGCGCTGTAGGCTCTCAGCTGTGAAATTATATATTTCAATGCGTTTATCAGACATGACAATACATCTATATAAATATATATGTATATATCTATATACTTAATTGTCCAAATTTTAATTTGCATAATTAAATAGTCGAGTCTTAATTATAAGTAGTATGTGAGCAGCATAGCCGCGTCATGCCACACCCACACCCACCGCCACGCCCACTGCCAATGCCAGAAGCAAAGCTTCTATAAGTAACTGACGCCCAATTTGTTCTGCGCCAGCCACACACAGCTTTCCTTTTGGGGCGTACGTGACTCCTGGGCGCCAACAGCCCAGGAAATCAACGCACAGATTTTCCAGTTTCCTATGCGCACGCACACCCTCTCACTGTGCCGCCCACCCTGTGTGCCTAAGCGATGGCAATATTAGCATGATTTAAGAGTTTGCTTGTGATTCCTGTACAAGATAGAGAAATGATTGGCAACAGTTGTTGACGCGTTAGCAAGATTTCATGTTGGCTTAGAATTTATGGTGCATGGAGGAAAATATTGTTGGCTGAAAAAGATTATCAAATAAGTATAAGCACTTTACAATGCTGGTTTAACTAATTAAGTCCTTGGCAACATTTGATCGATGCTGATAGCGAAATGAGGTGGCAACATTTGATGAGCTATTGAGACGTATGTTGATAAACATGCTTAGCAACATTTTGCTGCTAAATTGGGAGCTCGTCAAAATATAATAATGCAGTCGATTTTTGTCAACAATTGAGTTAATTAATGTGAATAGAAAACTGAATTGGCCACATAACAATAAACATTTCTAGCAACATTTTGCTAATAATGCTGTTAGAACTAAAGAAAGTCTTTGGCAACATTTGATTTGATTTTATGTTGATAGAGAAATTAATGGGAAACATTTGATGACTTGTTGAGATGCATGAGGATAAAAATGTTTGGCAACAATTTGGCAGTTCATAAATATATATATGTTTGCATACATACATATTATTATTTGCATACATATTAATCATTATATGTGGATAAAAGTGCCTCTGTTAACTTTATTAAAATGTAAGTACTTAGTAAATATCCGTGTATATTCAACAACATTGGCTTGTTTTCTATAAATAAAATTAATTTCAAAAATGTTACAAAGAAAAGCTAAAGTTCATGTTCGTTGGAGTTCAAACCATACTGTCATTTATAATTATTGCTGAAAGATTTGCCTATTGTTTTATACAAGACAGATTGCAAATAAAATATTTAAACAAAAATTGTATTACGCAACATTTCTAGCTACAATCAAGTAAGCTTAACATTTCATATTTATTGCTAACAGTATTGCGAGCACATCATGTTGCATTAGATCATGTCGCTAGCAACACAAACTTCTCAGCGACTTGTCGATGGCAGCATATTGTTGCTAAACATAATTCAAAGCATTGTTAAGATAGGGAATAAGAGAAACAAATACATAGTTCTATGCAGTTGCTTGTTGCTGAGTGTGTTGCTAGCTCAATGTAAGCTACGTTTAAGCTGGACACAAAGTCTTAAGAACATTTAGCTAGCAACAAAAGATGCTAAACATCTGTCCTTGAAGCACCCATCTAAACAAATTTCTTTCAGCACTATAAATCTGGGTATGAGCGTTTGGCGTTTTACAAGCCGACAACGTCATTAAATATGCGCATTTAATCATGCATTTGTTTTCAAATATCGGATATACACATATATACATATACATATGTATATATAGTGTGTGTGAACATGTTTGTATTTACATTTAGTTGCTCGCAGCACAAGGCATGGAGTATACATTTGTATGTACATACATACAAAGGTAACGCATTTCTCTGCTCGTTTAGTGGCTGCTCATTAAAATTTCAATAGCAGCAACAAAAACCACACAAAACTTTTTGCGCCGCCTGCAGCTGGTTGAAACTTGCCGAAACTGCTTTACGCACTGGACGTCGACGTCAACGTCGCAGCTGACGCGCAACCAACAGTAGCCTTTATTCTGCCTTTTTTTCTATCTCTCTCTCTCACTCCCTCTCTGTTGCTAACATATATTTTTGTTGGCTCTGTAAAAGTTTTTGATTGGCTTTTTTTCTGCTACTGAATGGAAACAAATTTGGTTAGGAAAGCAAAGCAGAAAGAGCAAAAATAAAAACTGCATTTACCAACACTTGGTGCGAGTCTTCCCTATCTCAACTCATCAGCCAAGAAGTTTCACGAGTTTCCACACGTAATTTTTGCTCTTTTCATTTTTGTTTTTTGTTTGATAAGAACGTGTTGAGTGATTTGATAAATATTTGAGCTAAGCAAATGTTACGTGAAACAAGCTCTTAATCATGTAGCTGATACATTGGGCACTTGAACGTCAATAAAAAGGGATTTCAAGTAGTTTGATAAAGAAATTAGAAAAGTTGTAAATAGTTTAAAAGCAAATTCCATTGACTGCTGCAGTTAGCTGAAAGAGTTAAAGGTTATTGCAATTCGAGGTTGAAAAAAAAGTAAATAAGATTCAATGTGAATTTAGAATAATAATATTTTATATATTTATTTCTTTTCGACTATTATCAATTTGATAATAAAGATAAATAAGATCAACTGATTTAAAATTTCAATAATTTTTAATTTCACTTAATAATTACATCAAATTAAAAATTCCCTTTTCATTTTATTCATTAGCTCTTATCATTTTACTTCTTAAATAAACAGATAAAGTCTCAAGTTTCTTGCTATCTCTAGACGCTGAAAGTCTACCCAGAATTTTAGCTGTATTAAAACTATTTATTTAGCAAATTGGACTGCAAAGACCTCTGCAGTATTACTGAGGTCAAACAGAATAAAATTTCTTTAATCTTTAGCCGGAATACGGAAGACGGAAATCACATTTTGCTTCCGATTTGCTTTGCACTCCTTTTATTGCATAGAAATGCTCAAGAGTGCCCTGGCAGAGCATTATAATAACAGCTGTATACATGTGCTTGTATGCATGTGTGGAGGGTGCATATTGTATATGCTGTCAGCAAAGGAGATAATGCATGCATGTATTTGTGAGCACTTGACACACGCCATTGGCTGTGATGCACTCTCTGCGATATAAAGTAAGAATCCAATGAGCACGAGAGTCATAATAAATAATAAGTTGCGTACACTAGAGTATGTTTTATTAGTACAGGCGATTTAGGCGATGAGCATCTAAATTTATTGTAAAGCGAATATGCTCATGAATGTACGTATGTATGTGTGCACTCTTGCCTTTGGCAGTTGTGCGTAATGCAAGATGAAGGCTTTGAAGAGCGCACTGTTATAAGACACTATCCCTCAATCGTAAAGAGAGTATAAATGTGTAGACTGCCGAACGATTCCGTCCGTGAGCGCCTGATCTCAAGTGTGTATAAATGAAGAGCTAGAGCGAAAGCATGCAAGTACATGTGTACGCTCAGCTGTAGGGCTTTACACAGGCCAAAATACGTAAAACGAAATCAAGAGTGAATGCTTGCAAGTGTGTTTGTAAGCTCTGCTGCATTAATGTTAATATGTCTGTGTGCAATCAGCTGTAACGCCAGAGTGCGGACAAGGCGAACGATTAAACGATGAGCGCCTGATCTAAATATGTACAAAAAGAAAGCGAGAGAGAATGCGTGCATGTATCTATGTAAGTGCACTTAGCTGTAGCGCCTAAAGTCAACAGTGAGACTTGGTAGAGCGAGCGTGAGATTAACATACCTGATCTAAAAATGTGTAAAACGAACGAAAGAGAGTAGCATGCATGTGTATGTGTGCACTTGACGAACGAAAGAGAGTAGCATGCATGTGTATGTGTGCACTTGGCTGCAATACTCAGAATTTAATTACAAATGTATTAGTGTGAATGCCGGCTCAGCTAAGCTAAAAACGTACTAAATTCTAATTTTAACTGAGTTAACTGAGAGTGAACCAGTGAGAAATAAGGGATTGCAGCAGGAGTTTATACAGCACTTGCGGTAACACAATATTGAAAGGCCAATTTTTGAAATCAAAATTAAAATATTTAATATTAAAATTATTAAATAACAGCTAATAGCAAAACTCGATTAAACTAAAATAGCTAAACCATACAATTTCAGTACAGTAACATTTCAATTTGAATGATTAGTTTAACAGTCTAGAAAGCTGTTATTGTTGAACATATTTACCTTAAATAACCTTGAATATTAAATAAAATTTACATTATGAGCAAAAATTTGTTAAAAATAAGCTAAATTTTTTACACAAAAGCCATACAAATGTAATCCGTATTTAAGATGATGTCTCTATATAGCGCCATTTCAATTTAACGATTTAGTTGAATGCGCTCAACAACAACTGTTGCTTCTGAAGGCAATTTGCAGCAGCTTCGCTTCATGCTTGTTGGCCTGAAAAGGGCTTTGATACTTGAATAAAGAGCCAAGTTAATCAAATTAGCGGTTGACTGGCGCACTCAAAATACCAGCAGGCACTCGTTTTTTATGATTTCTCTTCTTTTTCTCTTGTTAGCTACAGCCGCAAAAGTGGAATGTCGCGCAATATTTGCTGAACAAACCTCCAGGCACACACACACACACACACACACAACACAACACACACAGAGTAAGCCCAGCTAACTTTGATAAGCAGCAAGAGGCAATTCGTTTGCTATTAGGGTTGGTCGAAGCTGATTTTCGTACACTTAAACACACACACACCTACACAAACGCCCCCGAAAACACACGCCCACTTGTCTGCCCCGGGCACATTAAACGGTGTTCATCGTGCTGAGCGAGAAAAAGTCGTTGAGCCTTGAAGCGAACAGCTGCTCAAGAAACTACAGCACCAAACCACTCCACTCTCTCTCTCTCTCCCTCTCTCCGTCTCTGTCCCTTTCCCATGGTCTCTTTTTGGGCTTTGCTGCGTACAGAGAGATTCTATTAAGCGTTATTTGACCTCCATTCA